TCAGAGACAGCCCAGCAGATCTGTTCCCCTAATAAAGGCTTATTGTGGCCTGGTCTGGTCTTGGTTTTCGGCCTTTTACCTGACAAAAACCAATTATCAGACTCTAAAACTGGAACACACAAGGTCGCAGGATAAAGTCACAAAATGAACTGAAGCCCCTGTCAAATGAAACTAACCAGGAAACGTTCCAGCTGCTGCCTGAAGAGCAAAGAGGGGAATTAGTAGCGAAAACTAAAGACTTGGAAGAAAAGAAACTGCAGGTATTAACTCTGCAAAAACTGGAATTGTTAAGAGCCCAGATACAACAAGAGTTAGAAACTCCAATGCGAGAGTGTTTTTGGAATCTGGATGAAGAAGTTGAAAAGTATAGAGCTGAATATAATAAGCTTTGCCATGAACATACATTTCTGAAGTCAGAATTTGAACACCAGAAAGAAGAATTTGCACATATTTTAGAAGAAAAACTGAAATATGAATCAGAGGTTGCAAGGCTGGAGAAAGATAAAGAACTACATAACCAGCTGATTAGTGCCGATCTCACAAGAGACACCAAACGAGTGGAGCAACTTCTTCAAGAAAAAGCCCATTTGAGTCAGAAATTAAAAGGCTCAGAGATTGAAGAGAATTTTGGTGCTCAGGTAGAAAATGTCCAAAGAATACAGGTGCCGCAGGTGGCTGACGTGCAGGCTATAGTCAGATCAGCAGAGGCTGAAAAAGAGTCAGTCAGGTTGCAGGCTGAACACTTGGAAAAAGAGCTACGATCAAGCAATGAATAAAATACTTGTTTAATCAGTAAATTGCATGAAGCTGACGGAGAAATAAATACACTGATCAGTAAAGTAAAAGACCCTAGGGCTGGGATTTAGCTCAGTGGTTCCGCTGCCTGCCTCATAAGCGCAAGGTCCAGAGTTTGATCCCCAGTACTGAAAAAAAAAAAAGCAAAAGACCTTAAACACTCAAACAACTAGAAATAACAGACCTCAAACTGGAGGCAGCAAGACCTACGAGTGAGCTACAAAGAGAAGGAAATAAGATTCAAAGTGAACTGGATGGGTCACAATGACACAATGTAACTCTCAAAGCAGCTGTTGAACAACAGAAAATGCTCTTAATAGAAAAAGATCGTGAATTAATATGTAAAGTACAAGCTGCCAAGGAAGAAGGTTATCAAAAGCTTGTGGTATTACAAGATGAAAAGCTAGAACTTGAGAACAGATTAGCTGATTTAGAGAAGATGAAAGTGGAGTATGATGTTTGGAGGCAATCTGAAAAGGATCAACAGGAAGACAAATTGCAGGATTCACAGATGGCAGAGGAGATGACCAGAAGAAAACTTCAGAGTATTAGGTTAAAACTTCAACAACAAATTGTGAATATTGAAAATGCAGAGAAAGAAAAAAATGAAAATTCTGATCTGAAACAGAAAATCAGTAGTTTGCAGATTCAAGTGACCCCACTGACCCAGTCTGAGAATGAACTGGTGAATTCAAACCAAATGCTAAAGGAAATGGTGGCGAGATTAAAACAAGAATGCCATAATTTAAGAATCCAAGCTGAAAAAGTACAACTAGAAGTTGAAAAGACACTGGAAGAAAAAAAACATACAGTGGTTGGAAGAAAAGCACAAGCTTCATGAACGTATCACAGACAGAGAAGAAAAGTATAATCAAGCTACAGAGAAACTACAAGGAGCTGCAACTGCCCAGAAAAAATCTCTTCATGAAAACAAACTGAAGAGACTACAAGAAAAAGTAGAAGTCTTGGAGGCAAAGAAAGAATCGGAAACATAGTATCAGGTGTTAAATAGACAAAATCTTCCATTTGAAGAATATACAAGGCTTCAGAAAAGACTAAAGGATGTGCCGAGAAGACCTAATGAATTTCAAAGTCTAATTTTCGTTCCTAACATACCTCAGACCATCTATGAATCCTATTAGCTTTCAGTCATCAGCCATGGTTCCAGGCATGGAACTATGCTTCCCTCCTCATCTGCAGGAGCAACATCAAAGAGAACTTTCTCCTTCGCAAAAGACTAGAAGAACTTGAAGAACACAAAGAAAACAACTAGAGGAACTTGGATCTCCTGGGGAATGATGTTCTTGGTAAAAAGCCAGAGATCAAAAGGAGTGAAATCACAGACTCAGTAAAATGTGAAGTTTTAACATATGTGGCATTGAGATACTTTGCTGTTTGCCAAGGTACTTGAATGTGCCTCAAGAGAAAAGTAACAATTACGACAAGTGAAGCATTAAAAGAAAGCTTTTTACAGATACTTAGAACATATATTGATGTCCTTTTGAGAATATAAAAATAAATCGATAAAAGTTAGAAAAATCAAGTTAATAAAAAAATACTACTAATTTACTCAAAACAGATTGGACAAGGCTGGTAGTACAAACCAGGAAGTAAGGTAAGAGGATCATTCCATCATGGTGGCAAAACTGCTCATTTTACAGGTCAAGTGAATCTGATTTTTGCATCACCATCTTTCAAAGGTGCAATCCAGAAAAAAATATAAAATAAGGTTACTTTAAAAATGCAAAAAGAGTAACAGGATTTCAACTCAGCAAAGAAAATATTGGCCAAAGTTAACAAGCAGATGAAAAGTTGCAAGAAGCTTGCTTTTTTTTTTTCTACAAATGGTAAGGAAATACCAAGAAAAATAACTGTCCGATTATATATAAAAAAAGAATCTTCACAATATGAATCGTCACAAAAAGAATCTTCACAAATACGAGCTCATGTTGAGTAAGGTACGGAAGACCTTATATAGTAAAATGAAGGGGCATAAAATCAGGCATAAATACAAAAAAAAAAAAAAAAGAAAAGAACCAATTGAATTTCATTATGAAACACTAAAAATCAACAAATTGGAAGAAGTCAGGTGTTGGGCGTTAAGAGAAACCAGCACAGGGCTCCCTGCTGGCGTCAGCGTGGGTTGTGTAAATGGAAGTGCAAAACGCACAAACTGCGCAGGGGCAAACACGCTCCTGAGGGTGTTGGCATTTCCTCAACTCTCTCCAGGGAGCAGGAAACGGGACTAGAACGCTCCCCGCAACATTTACATCACGAGATCTGGGCGGGGACGAAGCTAAAGCCTCCTTGTTGACCAAGCCCGGCCGGACGACTCTGAGCAAGCACCAAGCCCCAGTCCACACAGCCGCTTCCGCCCTTCCACCCGACCTCAACCGCATGCCACCCCGCGTCAGGGCACCTTCCTGCGCCATTACCATTGTGCGGCTTCCCAGAGTGTTTCCCACGCAGCTCGGAGATGGCAACGGTCACGGAGCAGGCGGTCCAGCCGGCAGCACACTTGGCAGCTCGCTCGGGGAGCGGACTTCCGCGCCTGGACAGAGAAAGAGCGCTCTTCCTACGGCCCACCTGATTGGAAGTTCATGGAGCCCGCTGATTGGCTCCTGCTCCATTGACCGCCCTCCGAGCTAAGAGTGACAGCGAAACCAAATCCCTAACAGTGTGAGTGGACCCAAGTGACAGATTGTAACCCAGAGACTTCTAGACCAGTGTCTCTGCCAGAATGTCGCCTGACCTGCATGTAAGCAGAGTTTGCTGTGGGCTTTGCAGGGATGCTCCGGGTACCTGACTGGATTCCGTGAGCTCTTCCTGTGCGTTGCTCCTGAAAGAAGGATCACACGTGTGCGCAGACATTTCCAGGGTCAGCAGCCATGGAGGTGACCCCTGATGTCAGGAGTCCAGGACAGGTCAGGACACAATGGAACAGAGGGAGGGCCCGATCTTGGGAGTGGTTAGAGTGAGGCAGTTGGCTTCACACCCAAGACTTTCTCACACCCTCTCTTGATCTACTCATTTTCAGCCTCGAAAAATAAATAAATATATGCCAAAGAATTTCTACTCAAGAAATGAAGAAAGTAGAATTAAATGAAGGCAGTATTCTACAGAGGAGTCAGGATGAAATAAAACCAAACATTTCAACTGCTTCAGACAGGTAACCTACTTCATTCAAAGTTGCAAAGAAAACCTCAGTTCTGAAAATCAACATATTTCTGAGCATGAGAGCTAGAATGATTGCTGAAATGAAGGCTGATAATCACTTCCTGGTGATGAGGCAGGGACTCCAAGGACTTCAGAATGTGAGGCCACATGCCAGAGAGTTGCCTCCTAGAAGATCTGTAAAACCCTAATATTCACTAGAAGGAAATTGTTAACTGAAGACATGTGATCCTCTTGATTGCCAACTAGCTTGCCCTGAGGGATGGGGAGGATATTAGCAAAGCACACTTCTGGGTGTGTCAGAAGTGTGACTTATGTTGCCCATATCTGGTGTCTGGTCCTTTCCTCTGGGGTCTTTCTCTCATAAAATAATTACATTTCTTTCTTGTTTCCTTTCACCAGGATGTTTCTGCTTTAAAGAAAATCAACCACACACTGCAAGAGTAAATACAAGTAAACACATAGAATATTATGTTATGTATCATACTCCAGGAATTCTGACACAAGAACTTCTCAGGCCCTTGAAAACTCTGAAGTGAAAATCCTGCACTTTGTGTGATAATCAGATGGCTAGTGGTCAGGGTACTGTTGGTAGTTTCTCATGAAAAATGATCTGAAATCCAGAAAGACCAAGGAATGCTCAAAAGCTGGAACTTGTGAAACTCACGTTTATAACTGGGAAGTAGGTTGAAAGTTTAAGCCTCACCTATTGTACCTGTGAAAAGCAGGAAAGAGGTTAAGACTTAGTTCATAATGAAAACAAAAAGCCTATGTTTGTGTCAATATACCAGGAAATTATTCACTTGTAAGGGAGGCTATTGTCTTCATTCTATGACATTTAGCCTCATCCTTGTCTAAACCTACAAGATGCTAGTAAATTCCACTCCTTTATGCTGTGACAAAAAAAAGAGACACATCTATATGTTTCCTGAGGACCAGAATCCATCCTGATTGAAAATCACTAACTGAGCATCTATGTGGGCTGATTGAAAAGACACCCAGGTTGCTTCTCAACCAAGAGGATTTCTCCATTTCTCTACCTCCACACCACAAATCAAGACGGGTCTTTCTTCCCAAATTACTTCAACTCTGCCACTGCACCTCCACACTCCTTGTCCCACCCATACGGGCTGCTTTATAGAATGTGGCTAGCTTGAGAAGGCCAAAGAAAAAAGAGGCCTTCACTGCTGCAGTGTGCTCTATCACTGCTGTGTACTTTGCCACAAAGCCCTTGCAATGGCCTTCTCCACAGAGTCAACCTGAAAACTGGTTGGGAATCCCACGGCATTCACAGAAAATTCAGGGATTGCAGGCTCTTCTTGAGCCCATAACCAGGCTTCCTGCCAACCCTCCCTCCTCAGAGAGTGCACAGCTTCAGCACAGGATGAGCAGCTTTTAGGCTTGGTGGACACTGGATTGAATGAGATACCTTCACCTCCTTGCCATCAAGGCAGGGTATGAGAGGGGACAGGAGTTGCAATAACAAAGATTGTGAAGCCAGGGTTTTGCCCTGAGGTGTGATAGCTAGAAGGTTTTCTAGAATCATGTTAATTCTGACCTTACATAAGAAGAGTGGTTGCTTTTGGGCAATTCAGACACTATTTATCTTGTGGCAAATTGGTTAGCCACGTGTCTCTGCTCAGACAACTTTAGTGCTATCCTTTTTCTGGGTGATGCAATCCAGACAGTCTGATAAGGGTGGTGTACCTGTAGCAGACACCTCTGCCCAGTAGTATCAGGCTATAGTGGTACAAGCTTCTTGCCCTTCCATAATTCAGCTGTGTTACACTGGGAGTAGTGCAATCAGCTAAGTTCACTTCCAGCTGAGGTCAACCTGGCTCCGGCTAAATTCCTCCCCTCTGGGACCAAAGATATGCTTGTGCCCTCATTCTACAGTCCTGCCTGCTTGATACTTGTTATCAGCAGGTGTCCCGATGCCTGCCCAGATTCCCCTCTTCCCACACTTGAAATGAATAAACACTCGATGCCCTGGGACTTCTTTGTCTTTCCTGCCCAGAGCAGCTTAGATCAGCCCATGACTCAGTTTCTCTCAAGTCTCTGACTCTGTGTTTCTTTCAATTCCCACTTTCCTATCTCACAGACTTCAAATTGGCTTGCAGGAGGCCAGGACCACGGCAGGGGTCTCTGGCAACTCCCATTACCCTTTCCCTATAGTACCTATGTGTTTTAATAACAATGAACAGAGTCATGCCCCCTTATCTGAGAGGTGTATGTTTCAATATCCCCACTGTATGCCTCCAGCAGTGGATAATAATAAACCCGGTGGTGCTGGGAGTGATGCACTGTAGATCACGGAGGGTGTGGTGGAGCAAGGCCTGGCCCAGAAGAGGACTATCTTCCTTCCCACCCATTCCCCAGAGAAACCTCAAGCGTTATCTCCTGCAGACCCTAGCCATTCTCCCTGTTCCAATCAGTCATCCCCTTTTGGGTTCCTTATCTACACTATAAATAAAGGTGCTGAGGATTCGAGCCAAGCTTTTTGTCTCATCTGGAGAAAGAGTTTCCACCTGGCCTCAGCTATGTAAACTTTGCTGTCATCTTTGTCTTCTTCTTTGTCTTATCTTTAAGTTCCTTAATCTCTTATCATAGTTTCTCACTCTGTGAACTCTTGAGCCACACAGCTCCTGTGGCACCAGGCTTCTTTTCTCTACATACATATCTATGATAAAATTTAATTGATAAATTGTGCATAGGTAGATACTGTGAAGGTTCAACTTGGTGAATAGAGGAGGAGCTAGGTCAGAAAGACTCAGAGAAAATCAACTAGAAACAGGTGATTTGAGCAGGGGAGGTACGTACACCCTGATCCAAAGAACCAATTTAAAGGAGACATTTGTAGATCAAACAAAACCTATGCACAGGAGTTAAGAAGAGGGGGAGCTGTCCACCAGGGTTGGTAAACTGGCCCCTTCCCTCACCCACACCAGGGACAACCATTCTGAGAACCTCTCATATAGCTGGAGGGATCCGAGCAGCACAGAAGAGTCTAGTCCGATGGTGGTGAACCTGTGACCAGGTTGCCCCAGCCAAGGTTTGACAAATTATCAGCTTGCCTACAACAGCTAAGATCACCTTCACTGTGCAAAAGCACGCCAAATGCAAACTTTTACCTTTCAATAAAAAGCTTCATCACTGAAAGCTCTGTTATTGTGTTTTTCGTTTTGTGAGGCCTGAGTGAAGTTAGCCTCTGTGTCTCCATTTTAAAAAAAAATCTCCACTTATGCGTGGCACTGACCTCTGCCTCAACCCCCAGGTAGTGTGTCAAGATAAGTGTCGTTGTCAAGAGAAGTGTTCTGAGAAAAACTGCAAAATGTACTGTTCCCGTAGTGGCCCTTCTGCTTTTGTAACTGGGCTTGCCGCCCCCGCCCTCACTGCTTACCACGCTAACCAATTGCACCACTGAAGCTCAAGAGAGAGCCAACTTCCTGGTTCTGAAACTGCTTAAAAACTGCAGCTGGGGCCAGGGATTTAGCTCAGTGGCTCCTCCGCCTGCCTCGCAAGCGCAAGGACCGGAGTTCCATCCCTGGTACCAACAAAACAAAACAAAACAAAACAAAAACCCTGCAGCTGAAAAAAGTCCGGAGTCCTTCTCTGGGGCTGCGTCCTTGAGATTGGATCCCGGCCTGCAAATCAAAGCTTGGCATTCAACCTTTTGACTCACTGTCCATTTGTTGGCACAACAGTTTAAGGCAAAAGATGTTAATGTATGAGTTGTTTTTCCTAAGCTAAACCCTCAGTGTCCAGGGTTAATTGCAGAGCGAGCACTCTGTGATAAATGAGTGTGAGTTTCGGGTTGCAGCGTGGCCACTTGTCTCTGAAAGGCTTGCCATCACGGTCTGGTCGCTCTCACAGCATAGACTGGGAATACAGGAGCCTCTTCATCCTGTTGTCCTCTCTCCAAACACTGAGCAGGCTGCAGCCAGGCAACATTTTCACAGGCGCACAGGAGGGGATGGAGATCAGGGGCAGGAGAGACTCCCTCCCCAGCAGCCCGATCTAGGGTGCGTCTTCCACACCCAGAACTATGCTGATCAAATTTAGTTGGGCATTTCTTAGCCAAGTTGACACATCAGTTGACTATCACAGGGGCAAAGAGGAACGTGACCTGTGAGGTTAAAGGCTGCAGACCTGGAAGAAAACACTCTTCTGGAATTATGTAGGAGCTTATTTCTTTTTTTCTTTCTTTCTTTTTAAAAAACTCCCCTCTTTTAACACAATCTTTTTCTTTCTATGTTCCTCTATTGACACCTTTTTTTTTTTTGGTAATTTTTTAACTTTTGGTAAATTTTAGAATTTTACCTCCCATTTTCTTGTCCTTTTTAATGTTACTTTATTTGTTTGAATAGGTTTCTCTCTCCTTTTCTGGCTTTCTGTCTTTCAAATTGTTCTCTTAGTATTTTTGCTTATTTTCTCTTCCTCTAGTTTAATCTCCACTCCCAATTTTTTATCCTTTTCCTACTTGGATTTTTCTGTTATTGTTATCTAACACTACTAATTTCCCTTTACTCCTTAGTAATACTTTTTGCATCAATCTTACCACTTTCTTCACATCTTCCATTCGTTAACTTTTCATACTCTATTTCTTTTTTCATCATGCTTCTACGTACCATTGGCCATTATGAATTTGTAGGTGGTTAACTATATCTTACTATGGCTGAATACTGCTCTATGGTGAAAAGAAGTAAAATGACTCTACTGAGTAGGTATTTATTCTCTATAATTCTCTGCTTTGTCTTAGAGTTTTTTCTATAACTATCGATGTTGTAACTATGGTTAAAGGTGGCAACGTGTTAGTTATAATTTGTCATTATCCAGTTTGTGTCTGATGCTATTGTTATTGCTGATTGTACTACTGTAGCCAAGGTGACATAGTTGTTGTGATCAACTGGTTTTCCTTGTATGCCAATATCTAGATTGTCTGGGGGTCATATACAATATTACAGTGCATTTCTAAAGAACTGGGTACTAACTCAAACAAGCTGCAACTTTTTATCCCTAATAAACAGAGGTGATAGGATCCTAATGATATAGGGGAACTAAATGTAACACTCAACCTGCTAGATGTCCAAAATGCCAAGCTTCTTTTCCCCAAAATTGAAGAATGAATTCTAAGGAACAATGGAAGTTAAGAGTAGGAAAATTTTATTGAGAGAGATAGTTCCTGAGAGATAGGAAGGGACTGAAGAGTGTGTTGCCATGGACCTCACTTCACAGAGCAAGCTTATAGAGCAAAATCATGAGGTGGGCACCAAATCACGAGGTGAATACAATGTGGGTCAAAACTGTGATCAACCAATAAGATTACAAGGATAGCCACCTAGATAATATTGATCCAATGGGGAAGCAGGTCACATAGCAAGTGTATGTGGAAAGAACAAAGACCTTTTTAGGAAGGGATGAATCAGGAGGTCCTG